CTTGCCCTACAATGAAGAGAATCACGGGCCAATTTTATTTCTTGTCCATATGACAACGTAAAGGTCTTAATTATTATATTAGCGCTGGTTCCGGCTCCGGAGGAGCTGGTGGGAGCGGGAGGGCGGCAGCGCGTGTGCTGGGCTCGGTGGGCTCCCCGAGCGCCAAGGCGGGCGCGCAGGCAGCCACGCTCTCTCTGCCCACCCGCCGGCAGCCCAGCTCAGCTCCATCTCCTCGACATCCGGGGAGGGAAGGGAACAAAGGCAGAGAACAATTGCTATTGTTTTCCAAGACTTTCTTCGGGCCAGTTTCTCCAGCGCGGTGCTGCTGCCCAGCCACCCCGGCTGCAGCACGACAGCCCCGCTGTGCTTGGAGCTGTGCAGACACCGGTGGGGACATGGCCCCCGTCCCCAGGCGCCTGCCACCCAACCATCGGAGCCCGGTCCCTGGAGCACAGAGAGAGATGGAGCCAGTGTGGTTACCGCAAGCACCACAGCTCCAGTCCCATTCCGCTCTCCTCCTTAAGGAAGGGACCTCAAAGAGCACCTAGTCCAACCCCCCTGCCCTGGGCAGTGACACCTCCCACTAGAACAGGTTGCTCAAACATCCCGGAGATGCTCAGGACATCCATCATCTCATCCTGGACATCCATCTTGCTGTAACCCACCAAGGTCTGATGCCCACGTCGGGATATCAGCCCACAGCACCAAGCAGGATGGAAGGAGAAGAATGGAGCAGGTTGTCCCCAGGAGGGACAGGCAAGGGTGGCAGCAGAGGCTGCAGACTGAGGGGGACCCAGGATCCTGCCCCTGGGTGCTCAGCGTGTGGCATCACCCTGGGCTGATGGGTCTCCCTGGGTCCCACAGGGGGAGCAGAAAGGTGTCTACAGAAGAAGGTGGTGTCTAATGCATGAGAGTCTTGTTCGCTTGGGATTGTAATTAATTGGTAAAATTAATGTCCCCGGTTGCCGACTGGGTGTTACCAGGACGGATGATGAGGAGCATCAAGTGCTAAAAGCAAGGACAGTTTGGACAAAAGTTCTCAGCATCAGAACTAATGTTTTCATAAAACCAAGTTCTATATAGAGGCCTAAGACCTTAAATAAGGCCCCTCAGACACAAGCACTCCCACCAAGGCCATGCCTGGGCTCCAAGGCAGAAGATCTTGAGTCAAAACAGGATCTGGCCAAGGACAAAACTCAACCTCTAATTGCTGCTCCAGCCAAAGTGGATTTGAAGACACCTGCCCTTCTGGCACCCCTCCTCCATTGCGAGAAGGGCTGCTGTTACACCAGCCGGGAGGGATCCACGCGTTGAGGGGACCGGCAAAGGAAGAGAGGGATCCTGGTGGAACAGCCTCCCGGGAGAGGAGCCCACACAAACCCACGGCAGGCAGACCCGGCCAAGAAACCCCGATTCACCCAACATCACCGCGCCAGCCCGAACTCGGGTTCAATTTGCCAAATCGTTTTGGCACGGGAAAAGCTGTTGTGGGGCCAAACTGCCAACCCCCCCCCCGCCGTGGGC